ACGACATCAGTGCTGTCGTCAAACTTACCATGAAACTCACTGAGACTATGTTCCGGCCTCTTTTCATCAAGACTGTCGAGTGGTCAGGTTTGGATTCAGAAGGTCACGAAAATGCCCCTGAAAAAGCAGGGCTATCTCTTTCTACAGTTTGGTCAACAAACTTGCTGAAACGCATCGGTGAGTTGTTAAATTAGTCTCACATTCTTGTATGTTATTTTATGGGGATTTTGATGCTGACGACTGATATATGTTTGACCTGAGTGTCTTCCACTTGCTTTTCTTAGAGCTGTTTTTACTTTTCATGTTCAGTGGGAGTTTTATATTTCTAAAAACCATAGGTAGATGACTAACGATGCCTATATAGTCAGCACAAAGGCTAAGAGTAATGCATCTGAGTATTAAATACGAGCACACCTACAATAACAAGCACATGATTGCACACGTGGTGTAGCATATTCGGGCTCCCATCTTCTGACTTTGAAAAATTGACTAAAAACTTGGTGATATTGTGGCATAGTACTTATATCTGAATTACCAGCAGTAGGGTAGTAATTTTATCCACATGACCATTCTCCTCTCAGCTCGACATGGCTTGTTAGGGTTGGTCTCTGATTAAGGTGCATATAAATCATGTGAAGCTTGATGTTTAGGTTTCTGTGCTTCATCTCCATCAGTAGCATTTTCTGTATTTTAGAGTTTCCTGCTGTTTTGTAATTCTTGTCAAGTCTGTCTTTTGAATCACATTTTTTGTCGTCAGTTATAAAGTATGCGTTTGTTCTGTTGTTGCATATCTAATTTATTGGTTAAAACACTATACCATATTATGTATGTGGAAAAATCCAAACTAGAGTTCCAGCTATAATCATGTGGCTGTGCTTTTGGTTTTCCAAGTTCAGTTGGTTTCTGGTTTCTGGACTGTTCTAACTTTGGTTGGTACTTTTGTGATTTTACAGAGACACGAATCTGTTGAGCGGGGATAGGTTCCCTTCTCTTGGGTACTAAAGTGCTAGTGTTGGACTTTCAAACTAGCTGGTTACAAATATTGAGAGCTGAAGAAAAATAGTAAGTTCAATCATTTAAACGAAACAAAACGCAAACAATCCCTAGAAAATATGAGTTTTTGAATGATGCAATTGTCCAAAATCTGCCAACCGGCCGAAAGCTTTTCAGCTCATAACACCCTTCGATATTCTTCTCTGGCTGCATACAAACTACTCTCACTCAGTGCCTTCCTCCTTTTCCCGTCTTCTTCTTGCCGCCTTTTTTCCCCTTTTTCTTCTTTCCCTTTTTGGGTCCTTTTTTCTTTCCATTTCCAGCTTCGTTTTTCTTTCCATTTCCGTCTGATATGTTAAAAACAATAAACAAATTTAAGTTGAATGTAGAAAGTGTGAATTAAATAGAAAAAATAAATTAAATGTAGAAAGTGTGAATTACCTTCATCACGTTGAACAATAGCAATCGATTGGTGAGGTTCAACAGGTTTTGCCGGTTCAGGTTTTGCCGGTTCTGCAACATTTGGAGAAGTTGGTTTTGCAGGTTCAGGTTTTGCAGGTTCCACCATTTGGAGAAGTTGGTTTTGCAGGTCGAGAAGTTGGTTTTGCAGGTTCAGCATCTGAATTTTGACATCACTTCATAAGCAACCAACAAGAATCATGACTTAAAGCAATTTAAATTAATGAATATTACCTTTGTTTTGAGGCAGGTATGCAACGGGGAAAAACTCCTCTCCCGTATAGACATCTTTCTGGAGCACGGGCCCATCTGTCAGGTTAAAACCATTCCTACTATGATCAGAATTTTGGACTTAAAAAATTGTGTGAAATACTGAAGTTAATTTCTTTACCTTTACTTTTAACGTAGACTACAGCAGGTTTAGCATCTGCTCCAACTGAAAGAAAGAAGTCAAACTTAACCTATGAAATAAAAGAAGAAGGGGATTCTTAAATAGAGTTTCCCATACAAATTTTTCAAAGACTTGGATGACCGACAGAAAAGAAGATGTAAAGAGTGTAGGTTTTGGTCATCTTCTCGACATGAAGATTACACAAATTGCGCCACCAAATCTTTGTTATTACTTGGTCACAATTTGTGTAATCTTCATGTCGAGAAGATGACCAAAATCTACACTCTTTACATCTTCTTTCTGTTGGTCATCCAAGTCTTTGAAAAATTTGTACAACGCTAGAGGGGAAACTCTATTTAAGAATCCCCCTTCTTCTTTTATTTCATAGGTTAATTTTGGCTTCTTTCTTTCAGTTTGCTTACCCGTTGGAGCAGATGCTAAACCTGCTGTAGTCTACGTTAAAAGTAAAGGTAAAGAAATTAACTTCAGTATTTCACAATTTTTTAAGTCCAAAATTCCATTTGATCATAGTAGGAATGGTTTTTAACCTGACAGATGGGCCCGTGCTCCAGAAAGATGTCTATACGAAAGATGTCTATACGGGAGAGGAGTTTTTCCCCGTTGCATACCTGCCTCAAAACAAAGGTAATATTCATTAATTTAAATTGCTTTAAGTCATGATTCTTGTTGGTTGCTTATGAAGTGATGTTGATAAAGATTGTATGTTAATGTTACATGTCATTGGAAAAATAGTTTGAAGGTGTTAGAGCGTCGAAACAAATGCACATTAACCGACCGTGAACTTGGCAGATAAATGGGCCTGTTTCTTCTCGGACAGATAACTTGGCAGGATGTCGCGGCCGCGACGGACGTCGCTCCCGCGACAGTGAGTTTTTTTTAATTATAACGTTGTACAATCGTGAAGGTCGAGAGGTAGAAGCAAAAAAGATAGCGAAGGTCGAGAGAGAGAGAGATGTCGCGAGAGAGGAGGGGATTGAGAGAATGTGGGCGTCGAGTTTTTTTTTCAGTTGGAAGAAGACAAATAGAACTGAGGGCGAGGTCGTCGAAGAAGAAGAAAGCGAGTGAGGGCGAAATTGAAGAAGGAAGAAGAAAGTGAAGCAGAAGAAGGACGAAGAAGAAAGCCACAGAGAGAGAGAGCGAGGGAGCCTGCGAAAGTGATGAAGAAGAAATTGAAGGTAGATTAAATTTTGTGTTAAGGGTATATTTGTAAATGACTATTTAATCTGATTACTTATTAAGTTTTATTGTAAAACTTTAGTCAAGGGTCACTTTAACATTTTGTATAGTAGAAAGGGTTACTTGGAACAATTCCCACGGCATTTCTCGGACTGACAAGTGTCCTTTTTGGACGAAAAAGTCCTTCTTTTTGCCTTTTAATTACAGCTTTGCCATTGAGATTATTTATTGTTAATTAAATCCTTCCCTCATTTCACGCATACGTTACCTGTCTTCCACAAATCTTGCCAAATTTCAGAGATGGAGGTCGCTTTTCTTTTCCCGAAATCTCGCACACGCTATCCATCGCTTAATTGTTAAGCCATTTTTCTCAGATTGATAGACCCATAACCCTTTTCACTTCCATTTTTACTTGGTTTCTCCTTTGATTGAAGATCGACACCACGAGGACTAGGTGTTGTCCACGGTCAGCTTGCGGCCGTTCTACCAGCCGGCCACGGTGGAGGCGGCGCTGTACGGGTCGGTGGCGCAGGATCAAAGGATGGAGCACGCGGCGGGAAAAATCTCGGTTGAGTTGAGGATAATTTCTATGATTAGGCTGAAGTTTGGGGTTTTCAAAGAACCCTAACCGCCGAAAGGGGGGAGTTATTCGCTGCTTCTGGCGTCGATGATCGGCGCGAGCTCACTGCAGGTACACATGAATAGCTGCCACCGTGTGAGGGTACCGACCCAGCGTCTTTGGCTATTTTTTTTTTTTTTTTTTCAGTTCAGCTTGTGTGTTGGTTCTGAAAAATTATCATTTAAAGATTGTTTGATAAAATGTATCATTCATGCATCCATAGAGAAACCGTATCTTACTCATTGAAAATGACAAATTATTTCGATGATTATAATGAGCAATCATGTTACAGATGCACATTTAGCATTGTTTTGTTGTATTCATGGCAGATTGTATAAATTAATCGGCAGTTCACAGTGTCTACTCGAATGATGAAGAAAGCTATAAGAGAACAAGAAGCTGCCCTGCAACATCAGCTATTGTGGCCAAACAGTATAGATGATTTTGAACCATCCGATTCTCTACGGCCTCTTTTTGAAGACGAGGATGATCATAGCAGGAATCAACTCGGGCACGACCAGTATTTGGACCAGGTATTGTTACACTCGGCTACATTTTTTGTCGCATGATTAAAATTTGTGGACTTCTTGATGGTTATATGTTCTTCTAACTTCGTACTGCGCTTATGATAGTCTTGTTGTAATGCTTGATCTTACCTGGGTTTCTACTCAGTTTCATATTGAAACAGTATCTCTTGAGAAGATTATTGACGTGTTCATGTGGTTTTTGGTGGTTCTTATAAGACATTTCAAGGCTGGAGGCAAGAATCGATAGGGGATGGAGCCCAAATCGTTAACTTGCAGCATGAGAGAGATGAATTTTAGAAGATGATTCTCGGTAATCATGTTTAGCTTTTACCTTTACTGTACCCGAAGAAATTGCATTACTCAAGCAAAAATGGGACAAGAATTTCTTCACTAGACTGCCAATCACAAAACAGAAGCTTATTTGTGCTTTGTACTATCCAATATATTTTCTTCTTTCAAGAGCAAAGAGCTCCGCTCTACTTTAAGGCTAGGGACAAGTCTAAACCCAAGGATCCGAGTAGAACTATGTCTTCTTCCTCTGAGGTGATCTATTTCCTTATTTACGATTATTGGTTGATTAACCATTTTTTTTGTCTTTTCGGACCTCGGAACTTCATCAGGGAATCTTCATAAGAGTTCAAGTTCTCCTTCAATGTATGGAAATTTATGTTCGTGGTGAAAACGATTAGGAGATTCGATGCACGTCGGCCTCTGATGGGTGCACAGTCAGTTAAAGGATCACAAGGATAATACAACTGTAGATTGGTGATGGTTCTATGGAGATTCACTAAGATTGAGCCTACAATCGACGAAAATGAGGATTAAGTATTTAGAAGCTGCCTTAAACCAAGACATTAAATACTTCGACACAGAGGTCAGGACGTCTGGTGTGGTTTTGCCATCGACATTGATGTTATTATGGTCCAGGATGCAATTATGAAAAAGGTAAAGGATGTAAAAATAAATAAATAAATAAATAAATGAGAAATGGGGAAAACCAAATTGGGATTTTCTTGATTGGAGTGTAGTTTTGAATCGAAATTGAGTTTTTTCTATTGTTTGATTCTTGATTGAGCCTCATTTTCCTTTTCTTGTTTTCTTTAGTTGGGAAATTTCTTGCACTACATGGCCACATGGGTTTCTAGATTTTTGGTGGGTTTTACTGTAGTTTGGCAATTGTCCTTGGTAACTCTTGTTGTTGTTCCTCTGATAGTTGTAATTGACGGCGTTCACACGGTCACATTATCCAAGTTTTTGTCCAAAAGCTAAGCAGCTCTTTCACAAGCAGGCAATATTGTAGGTAAGAAGTGTTCAATTTCTCCTTTACAAAACAAAATGGTCTTTAGATTATAATTTCTTTCTTGTTGAATCTGAATTTGATATTGAATTACAGACAATAACCCAGGTTCGAACGGTTTTGGCATTCATAGGAGTCGAGAGCACTGCATTCCTACTCTACAGCCCTGAGAATTGCCCAAAAGATTGGATATAAAATTGGACTTGCCAAAGCTTTCGGCTTGGGGCCACGTATCTTACGGTCTTTTGCGCTTATGCGCTCTTGCTCTTGTACGGTGGGTACTTAGTCCGACATCATTACACGAATGGTGGCCTTGCAATAGCTACGATGTTTGCAGTTATGATCGGTAGGCTTCTAAGTATATATATGGATTATGGAAAAATTATTTAATATGACTTAAGTTCCAGAAATTCACAGTTTAGAGAGTCATTTATGATAAGACAGTTAAGGCCCTTTTGGCCTCACATATGATGTCATTATTGGTAGGTAAAGGATTATTATTCTCCGAGAACAAAGTTTTATTGACGTCTCTGAAGTTGAATTTTGTCAATAATTTGAAAGCAAGTTGTTGGTTGTGTCATGTGTCAATAAATGTTGAGATAGGAACACAAATTGCTCTTAAGAATCAACCTGGTCGAAAGCCAAAATAATAGACATAAAATTATCTGTGGAGATTTTAATTTTTTTTTTAGGAAAAAAAGAAATCTTTGGTTTGAGAGCTCTTGTTAAATATGGGGTGGTTGCATTGGCTATTTAATTGCTGGAGAAACTGGACTTCAGAATTTACGGTCAAGTTTCCTTTATGTGTATTTGTGTTCCTCCATATCTAAGTTTAGTATTTTGTATTTTGGGGTGCTTGATGTGAATATGCTTAGTGTGGCTCTTATTTGTGTCTTGTTTCGTGTTTTTCTTTTGTCATTAATTTGGGCGTTGCTACAGGTATGTTTGCTTTCTTAAAATAGGAAAGTTAATTTGGACGTTGCAGATACGTGCGGTCGAAACTTTTAAGGAAATCGAGAAATTCCTGAGGGAAAATCTGTCAGAAATACTGAACTTATTCTTGCAAAATTATGTGGAGGCACCAAAAGGATTGAGCGACGCGTTAGTCGGGGGTTTATTGCATGAGTGAAGGCTCAAGAGTAAAACATCTGTAAGCAGCATGCCTAGCCTTTTTCCTCTTTGTTATTCTCAATCTTGCAAATGTGAGCCCAGAAATAAAGGTTTTCTATCCTGAAGTTTCAAGAAGATTAACAAAAAGATATAACCTTTTTGTTTTCATATACGAGAAGTCGGCCAGTTGAGGTGCTGTGGGCAGATGCTGCTCCCTTTTGCCTTGAGAAGTCTTTTTTTCTTTCTGTTCTTAATATATATATATATATATATATATATATATATATAATGGGTTTATTTTGTTACTATATTGTCTTGTTTATTTGATATTGGAGATGTATCTTATGGGGTTGGGGTTGGTCACTTGCCTTCTCTTCATATACAGTGGATTTAGACTGATGAATATGCACTTTGAGGTAATATACAGTAGTCAAAGATTGTGGGTATGTCCTTAGGATATTCATAAATTTATGGATTCAACTGAATGGATTTACCATGCTTATTGGTGTTGCTTTTGGAACCATTGATCATGTGTAGTAGATTTTGGGAAGGAGTCCATGTTTTAGCTATTTTATTTGGATTATTGTCAGTTCAACTTGTGTGTTATTATTTTCTTTGTGATTAAGGTCATCTTAAAATTAGTTTATGGTTGATGTGTATATCCAGTTTCTATACACTGATTCCTTTCAAGCTTAAGATGTATGTGAGTTTTTAGTTATCAAATTCGAATGTGTTTGTGGAGATTGATGGTTGCTTTCATATGATCAACCAAACAATTTATTTTACTGTTGTGTGTTGCTACTAGATACATTCTCAAGTCATTTGGAGGCTAACTTTATCGTTGCTTTAGCCATATATGGATGCTAATGTGTTGGATGGTCGTTATTATCTTCAAACTTGGAGTTAGAAATAATACAAAACATGTTTATTTAGTACTTTGTCTAACCTTGATAAATTCAGCCAAGTGGTAGATAGTGTTTTTAATTAATAACCAATGAAATAATGGATATAATAAACAACACTACGTCAAAACATTTTAGGGTAAATAATTTTTTCGAACTTGTACTATACGTGGTTTTGGGATTTTCAACCTAAAGTATTTTTTGTTGTAAAATACAACCTGAACTACAAATATACAATTATTTGCACGCTCGACCACTTTTTGACCATTCGATGATCTGCAAAAAAGGACACGTGTATGGTGAAGATGTGGTCGAGCGTGTAAGTAGTGACTGTATATGTAGTTCAGGTTGCATTTTACAACAAAAAATACTATAGGTTGAAAATCCCCAAAACACGTATTGTACAAGTTGGAAAAAATCATTTACCCAACATTTTATGTCAGCTGAAATTACCAAACTAGACATGGCTAGGTGTTGGGCCCGGCCCCGGCCCGGCCTGCCAGGTCGGCGGGCCTCAATTGTTGGACCCGTAACCGGCCCGAACCGAACCGTCGGGTTAAAAAAAAAAAAAAAAATGAACTACGATCCGTCGAAAAAATCGGAACCTGTCTCGGCCCGGTTTGGTCCGCTGGGACCGGTTAATGAAAACCATTGAACCGTAATCAGACCGCTTTGGGCTCAGTCCGGTTCACGGCCCGTGTACTGTTCATGCCGGTACCGGTGCCGGTTCGGTCCGGGACGGTAGCGATTCACGGTTCGGCCCGTGACCATGACTATACCAAACTCATAATTAATCGGCCCGTGGCCATGTCTATACTAAACTCATAATGAATTAAGTCTTGGTTTGCAAGTTAAAGAATCACATGATAAATCAAGGGTTAGTATGGAATTTCAAGGAAAGTGTGCTTCAACAGTCCATATGGCCCCGTGAGTGCATTATATACTATATAGTCGGAGCAACAAAATTCACAAGCATCTAAAAATATTATACAAAAAATTAAAAGTTTTATTAAATACACGAATTCTATAGTTAATTATCGATTAAATTTGGTCCGGCTGTGCGTGCACAGCCGTAACCCACTAGTATATCAAATATATTGAAAAGAAGAAAAAGAAATAGAATTATAGATGAGGTGAAATGATTTGCTACATAAGCGGGAGTTTGCGTGCTTCATAGCGTGATACGAGGTTAATGTAGACATGGCCACGGGTCAACCGGCCCGCCGACCCGGCTCGGACCCGGCACGAACCCGGCCCGGTCAAACCTGTTGACCACGGGTCCCGGCCCGGATTTCAACCAGGCCAATCCTGGGTCGAGATCTTTTCGACCCTGACCCGGCGGGCCGGGCCGGGTTCGGGCCGGGTCAGGGTCGGCACGGAAAAAACTTAAGGTTTTGAATTTTTCTTTTTTTTTTATTCTTTTATTATGGCGGGTCTAAACCCGGGCCGGGCCGGGCCGGCCCTCCGGGTCATGGACCCGGCACGGACCTAAGGCGTGCCGGTTCAGGGTCCCCCAAACCCAACCCGTCGACCCACGACCCGGCCCGGATTTTGGCCATATCTAGGTTAATGGATTACATTTAGATTGGGTTATGTGGGCTGGACCTTCATTTTACTCTCACGTGCATAATGGACTATGTGTGCATATAGATACTTGGGGCTTCCACTGTTTTGGACTTCATCTTTTACTTTATTCTGAGTTCTCATCAAAGATCAAGGCTGCTTGTAAAGACGGTTTTGATTCCATTGAGGTGGGCAGATTTTAATCTGCTGGGCAGGTGATCAAATCTACTTGTAAAGAATAGAGGAAATTGCACCCGTACCACCAATTTAAAATATATTACAATTATGCATCCATTATATAAATATTTATACAATTACCTAATTAAGCCTAAAATATTACTAATATACCCAAGAGTAACAGTTTAAACTTTATCAGATAATTAAGGGAAAGTTACACAATTTATGGACATCTTTAATACGCAATATATCTTCTGCAACAAAAAAGATCCCCCACCGCCCACGTTCACCACCTCCAAAGAAAAGAAAAACTTCCTCTCATCGGTTTTCCAAACTACTGAAATGGCGAAGACAAAAATCACTCGCAACCCTCGAAAAACACCGGCGAAAGAAGGGGATGAAACACCACGCCCAGCTTCTCCGCCAAGTACGTCCCCTTCAACGCCGTCCTCCACCGAGTCCTACTCCCTCGACGAGATCGTCTACCGAGCCATTCCCGCAGTAGTCATCTACATGTAGGGGATGCGAGAATCGGTTTATATGGAGTCGACGAGAGAGAAGATCATGAATATATTCCGAAGCATGATTTCCTCAATTTCCGCCGACGGCGGCGTCATCTAAAGAGGGTTTCGGCGTCCCCACAATCGGGGGAGATGATTGGTTGGTTGCAGGGAATTTGAATTTTGCTTTGACTTTTTTAGGGTTTTGGATGGTGTGTAGATTAGTCATTACTTGAAAGCAATTTAGGGTAGGCTGTTCAATAAGTGAGTTCTTTAGGTAGGTGTAGGCTGTTTAAGGAGATAATTTGAGTTTAGTTCACTTCTCCAAAATAATACGACAATAAACTATTTAGAAGCAAGCAATTTATTTGTTGGAAGGAAAATTATTTTTATAAATTACTTCGATAGGTGACGATCTTTATGTAGGTAATTTTTGAAAAAATAAATAACCTCTTTTAAGTAACTTTTAGTAATTTAATACCTGGTAATTTAAAAAAATTAATGAGATAAATGTACTGGAAAGGTAAATATCTATACATAATTATTTATTAATACGATATGAATATCAAATCATAACTTGTGAAGAAATACTTAATTTGATATGCAACAAATGAAAAATATGATCACAAAACCAACTTATGCAGAAGATAGAAAAGTGGGTGGGTGAATGAAAATAATGTCGGCAGTTTGCGTGTAAGAAATAAAATTAACTTCACGCAATTAATTATTTGTATAACCGTGCCAGTTTTCACATCAATCGGTTGTATTGTATTGTTTTAACAAGTTCCTTTGCTGCTCTACCCTTTAGATAAATTGCCTTCAGCTCAATCTAATAAAAGGGGAAGACCGTCTCTAGCTGATACCTCTGGACAAGTCGAGACAGGCCACTAAATGCAAGTACTGTGGATTTGTGTCCCGTCGTGGTGGGATTGCAAATGAGGGCCCCATTTGGGTGGCGGTGATCTTACAATGCCGTTCAAAGGCTGCCCTTACGTGCATACAGAGGTCAAAAATTTGATGACGCCGACTTCCGTGATAAAGAAATGCAAGAAAAAGTCGAAGACTGCGAATGTGGAGATTGCCGGAGGAGGGCTCTTATGACTTATGAGACCTTTTTTTTTTTTTCTTTTCGAAACGATAGACTTATGAGATGTTGAGTGATATATAATTAGTTGACTTATGACTTATGGTTTGAACACCTACACCTATCCTTAAAATTTTTAAGTTGTTTATTTTATTAAAATTTTCATATTCCTATTACTTCTTGAAAATAAATGCAGAAAAGATTATAATTTGTAATGGATCGAAGAATGTCACTATTCGACACGATACATGTCCAAAGAATGTCACTATTCGTCGGCGCACACGATGCCGAGTGGGCTCCACATTCTTGAGGACCCTCCCACGGGGGTGAAACCGTGGTTAGAGCACGATAACTTCGTGTCTTACCCTCGTAATGTAGTCGTTTAAGGCATCCGCCTCTTATTTTGTACCAAAAAAAAAAAAAAATCAAGGTGTTCGACATCCGTTTCTAAATACCAACAAGTACAAGAAAGCTCCTGTTCCCTTTCAACTTCACAAGTTACGTAACAAACACACCGTCTTAACAAATTCCCTTTCCTTATCCCTCACAAAAACGTGCACTGTAATTGAAAGGGAAGTAACTGGAAGTTTCTTCGTATTAGATTGAACCTCAAGGTTGATTTATGTAATTAACATAATATCATCTCAAAGCGATTGAAAAGTAATTCCTATAAAGAATTAACACTATTAGAATCCCTTTGAACTGGACTTGACAATAGGTCTCGGAAAAATCCATCGTGAAGAAGTTCAAACTTTTGAGCGTTTCTGCCTGAACGAGGACTGAAGGCTCCCTAAAAAGTACCTAAAAAACGTTTTTTCATTGTAAGCCCATGTTGTAGAGTTCTATATTATGAACAAGTGTCATATACATGCATTAGATCTTAAGATCAATCTTTGTATCTATACTACAAAAGTGCCGAGTACTAAACCACATTTTGCACATTGTCTTTTGTTAGTAGAGACTGTGAGAATGGCTAACAAGGCCTACTCGTCTGAACAACGGCATCACATCCTGCAGGAGACGATCGATGGGGTCCACAACACATGCCTGAAGGAGAGCCTTCAGAAGCTCATACACGAGAAAAATGCCAATATGCAAAAGATGCAGTTTGAAATCCACTCCCTTCAAAACCGGTTAGCTTCAATGCCTTGGGCAGATTTTCGCACTTTTTGGCATTTTCCTAGGATTGTGTGCTCATTTTGTCTTTTGCCCATATGACTAAACATTTTGTGATTAAGTTTTGTATCTTTGTAAGTTTCTGAATCTGTTTCAAAATTTTGCTCATTTAGAATTTTGTTCGAGAATTTGTCTCGAAATCCGAACAGTCATGAATATCTAATTAGGATGTGTGAAGCCTTGGAGATAAAAGCCAACAACATGAGGGATTTTCATTCCTTTGGACTTGTATAAACTGATTTGATAGTGATGATGATGATGTTAATAAAAGTGTGTGTGTCCTGATTCAATGGTTTCAATATTATGTTGAAGAAAGCTTAGGAAAAAGAAGAAGGAAAGAAAAGCTCGCACATGTTTTGCAGTACCCCCGTGAATACTCCGCCGGTATGAAAAGTTCTTAATGTTAATTGAGTACCCGGTTCTCCAATCGATTGTCCTGCAATAATGCAATAATACCTACAGCTTCTCCTCTACGCGTTCAGTCTTTAGTTCGATCTTAAGTTCCAAAAGCAGCAGCCTCATATGGTGGGCTTTTTGACCAATGTTCGAACACTTGCTAACAATACAACTGTACTGTCTATAGAATTACAAAATTGGAAATTTATGAATTAAATTATCGTNAAGGAGGCCAGAGTCCTAGGTTAAGACTCGACGAGTGTAGGAGACTTCAATGATATTATGATCCAACCAAGCTCCCAAACCCCAGGGGGATGAAGTGCGATGTAGGCCAATCGGGTAGGACTCCGCCAGACTCGCTATGTGATCAGCCGCAATGTTTGCTTCTCTATGTACGTGTTGGATCTTTATATTCCAATCCCTTTAGATCAAATTTATGGTCCTAACCAACGGGCCATGGGTACCAAGAACATCTTCAGGCTATCTTACTATCATTCTACAATTCAATAATTAAACATAAAATTTTATTTAAATAACTATTACAAACACAAAATATGTCATGAAAAAGGACCAATTGGTAAGTTACTAGGTAAGATTGTGAACTATTAAATGCAAAGAAGTATTTATTTATTTATTTTCAGATATTGAAAACCATAAATTTTAAAAATCATTGGATAGTATTATTCAATGATATGATACTAATATTTATAAAAATAATATAAAAATATCAGTGTGTCAGTTCGTGCAAGCAGGAGTTAAAATAGAATTTTGATCAAATTAAAATAGATTTGATCACTTTTGTTATTGTGTTGGGGTCTTACGAATCCAGAGCTTCTAAGGACATGGAGGTGTTACAATTGGGCCAACTTAATATTAGGCTCAGACAGCAACTTGAGAGGCAAATTAGGCCCAATTAAGAGAATTATGGGCAAATTGGGCCTCACAATTTTATGATTCTGTTTAAGCGAGGCCTGAAAGAGAGGCGGCAAATTGGCCTTCAGTCACTGTCATGGCTTTTATGTTNCATGATATCAAATTTGTTTAAAATGTCTGTACACAATGTTAAAACACGAAACAACTCGTTTTATTACGGTATACTATTAATAGATTGTTTTTCATTTCAGATTGTAGTTTTGGAGAATGGACGAGTGGTCGAATAGGGCCCACACGACTTTTTATTGTCAAAGATGGGCAGATATTCTCAGCTGTGGACGCAGCAGAATTCAACAGTTGATACTCTTGATGCAGCCATCACCACGAAAGCATGAGTATATATATTTTAGATTTTTCGGTTACATTAAAATCTTTGGTCTTTCGTCATTTGACTGAATCTGAAGGGTAATTTTGTATCTGCCTTATGTTTTTTGGATTCTCCAAGAGCGGAATCTTTAACTTGCGCAGGTGCCAGTTTCGTCGTAACTTGTTCAGGTTCGTTACCGAATAAATCTTATGGCGCGAATCGGCTTATATATCGTTTATAATCAACATATCATGGTAGGATTTTTTTTGTTCTCCTTTTATGTCTGCCTTAAATGTCAGTTTTTGTCAATTGCAGTAATACACAGTG